CCCCAAAACCCCAAAACCCCAAAACCCCAAAACCCCAAAACCCCAAAACCCCAAAACCCCTTTTTTCTTGTTGCTCATTGAATCTTAATGTTTATAATTTTGTGTAATCTTGGAGTACCTTTGTAAAATTATTCATCCTTGCTCAACTTGATTGATGCTTCTCTATCCAGACTATCTTTACTATAAAAACTAGTAGCAGACTCTTTCATTTTTAACATAGCTTTTAACTTCTTCGGGTCGCTGATCTTTTCTTTAAGCATAGCAAACTTTGCATCAATGTTAAGGGATGGAGCTCTTCTAAGTTTAGAGGGAGAGTTAGCTTCAGATTCTACAACTTCTTGCTTTTGCATTGTCTTTTCTAACTCTTTTATTAATTTCTCTTCTTCCTTCTTGAGCTGTTCTATTTGTTCCTCATGAGACCCTCTAGTTTCGGCTAACTTCTCGTTCTTAAGATGGTACCTGATCTGGTTCATATCATTTTTGGAATTCGAGAGATATACTAACTTGTTAGTTTTATTTTTTTTATGTGAAAGCACAGATTTCTTCAGTTTAGTAACTCTGCTCATATCCTCAAGAGCTTTCTCCTGTGCTTCCATTGCCTTAGCTATCTTTGCTTCTTTTTCTGTCTGCTTCTTGAGCCTATTAAGAGATGATTATGACTGTTTTTAGGTATAATGAAGGAAGAATGGCTTACCAGTTCTCTTCAATCTTAGCCTTATTTAGAATTAGCAATATTTTCCCTCATCTGTTTTCTTCTGCGTGCAATTTCTTCTCTTTGTTCTTGCATTTTTTGAGTCATCATTTGTCTGAATTTGTGCTTAGCGCTTTTATCTCGATCCTTGCTAACATTGATTTTTCCAATGTAGCTACAACGGGTTTTAGCCAAGCGTATGTTAGAGAGGGCCTTCTTTCGCTCATTGATAAGCTTTCCAACTCTATTTTTCATATCTATTAACTTCTTTTCTGTCTCTTTAGTTTCCAGTATTGATTCTAGCATTTCACGACCTTGGATAGGCTTAACCTGTATAACTCTCTCTGGAACAGCACTTTTGGAGGTACGAGACATGAGAGGTCTGTTCTTCTTCCGTTTAGATTTAGGACTTGAGGCTGCATTCGTGGAGGAACCATCCTTTTGGAGATCATAATCATTATTTTCGCTACTACCTGTAACTTCATATTTAAGATTGTACGCATGCCTCCTGCTGAAGCTTCGGTAACTTCTCACAACTTGATTGGCAATGCTCATATTTTTCTTTAAGAAATTCACCTTAATCTTTGAAGAATTTGGGCTTATAGAGGGTAATACAGGAGAATAGTCGTTCCTTGCTCTCGAAATAGTATCAAAAGAAGTCTCATGATTTTCTGGAGTTTCAATATGCTTTGATGCTAAATGCACCCTAGAATAATTGTGTCAAGATGGACTGGGGCTTCGGCCTGTATACGCCTGAATCATCTTTTCCTGGTTAGCTAATCTGGACATAATAATGCTCTTATGCTGGCTACTAATTCTTTTCTTACTCATATTGGAAATATATTTATTTTTGGGGTTTTGGGGTTTTGGGGTTTTGGGGTTTTGGGGTTTTGGGGTTTTGGGG